TTCCATATATACAACATGAGCAGTTGCTTTTAGATATTCCAATGTGTGTGTGTGACATGTCTTGTTTGTGTGTCCATATTACAAGAACCAAAACTTATAATAGAAGTTCACTTTTTGTTGCTCCTTTCTCAGAATGGGTGTTCTCCCAGTACAATGAACATCATTAATCCAGCAAAGTTCAGTCACGTCATCTGGATGGTTTCTTTTTGTTGTTGAGACGTTTGGTCCTTCATCCAAAGGACTTCATCAGTCTGAGGTCATGTAACTGAACTGGCCTCGGACTGATGAAGTCCTTTGGATGAAGGACAAAACGTTTCAACAAAAGCAATCCGTCCAGATGACCTTACTGAACCGTGTTTGATTTTTTTTACCTGGATTATTGAGCATGAACTTTGATGTTTTGAACCACTTTAGCTACGGCTGCCTCCGAGGAGTCGACGGGGGGGAGGGAAGGCCCCAGAAACCATCTTATCATCAGCAAACTGGTTGGTCCACTATGTGAGCGTGCTGTGGGACTGAGTTTGTTGTGGGTCCTCAGACTGATGAAGTCCTTTGGATGAAGGACAAAATGTCTCAACACACACACACACACAAAAAGAAACCGTACAGAGGACCTGAATTAAATTTGCTGGATTCTTTTAACCTGGATTACTGAGCATGAACTTTGATGAACATCATTAGTGTTGTAACCGTAAAGCTGTCCAGTCCAGTCAGAGAGCCCTTCCAAGTCTGCCTCAACAGCCAAAGTCAAACAAATGAAATGTGTCATTAAAAAAAAAAAAAAAACGGTAAGCAAATTTCATCCGTTCAATCAAAAGCTCTTATCGTCAGTCTGTAGAAATAATATAACCACCGAGTAATAACCCCACAGAGAAGCCTGGGGTTGATTCAGTTTATGTTCAGTTCAAGCCCACAAAATTTAGACTAAAAGATTGTTGCATAATGCAATCAATGACCATTTAAACTACACGTTCTATTGTGCATTACAGTATTACATAACTGCATTTCGAAGGCAATAGTAAAATAAATAAACAGCATCATCTAGCAGCCTCTGCTGAAACGTAAAGAAGCTCAACTCAGTGCAAAGCAGTAAAACAGTCGAGATAAGAGCTGGATGATACATCGTCAAGGCTGAGCCAATATTGGTGTAAATGTATATTTTACTGTTGAAGGTAATTTAAAAACTTTGTCCGAGGCATTTTCATACCGATATGTTTTCTTGGTTGTTTCTTGAGTTTGACAAATACCAGTAGGTATGCTGATGGTATGACTTGGTACAAAGAGCACCAACATATACATCAGTCCAATCAGATCATAGGATATATGATGAGATTCTCCCCTCGGGGAGTCAACAGGTGCACTACAAGTAAATGACCCTCGTGTCGCTTGCTGTGCGGTCCACTCGGACCTACGTGTTTGTCTGCTCCAACAGTGTGTTTGGGGATCCATGGGAGTGTTTACCAGCGTAGGCTGAAGAATTTCAGGTCAAGAGAGCATCCTGTACAGAGGAAACCTACAACCAAATTGATCCTGACATTGACATCAAAGTGCACCTGAGCCTTCCAGCTCCACCAGCTGAAAGCAAATATTTATCTCGCGGTGACGTAAAAGAAGCGAAAGAACAGATTTTTGGCCGGAGCGATTGTGTGCACGTCTTTCACTGTATTAATGTGCCATTTGTGCAAAACGCTGCTAGTTCTGTTGTCAGCTGCTTAAACGACAGGAAGCATGGTCCGTCTCAGAATCTTCTCCACCTAAACAATGATAAAACAAACGGACTTTATTTGGCGCTTCCAGTAATTTTCGTAACATCTCTCCCAGTCTAGGTTTTCCGCTCGACCGCTCGAACTGGGTGGTAAAAAAATCTAGGAGTGGAGCTTGACTGCAACTTAAAGTTCGACAAACGGATCGGTTCTGTTGTAAAAACAAGCTTCTTTCAGCTGCGTCTGCTTTCTAAAGTAAAGTGTTAGCCGTGGTGATCTGGAGAAGGCCGTCCACGCCTTCGTGAGCTCTACGCTCGATTACTGTCATTTTCTTTTTTTCATTCAACCTTTATTTATACTGGTTAATCACTGAGCCTCGGGGACTCAGGTTGAGAGCTTCAGATCTTTTTGCAAGATATTCCAGGAAATATAACGCTTTATATGTCGGTATAAATCGGTCTTCCATCTCCCGTTTACAGCTTGCACAAAGCTCTGCCGCTCGCTTGTTGACTAACACGTAAATATGAACGCATCACTCCCGTCCTTTCGTCTTTGCACTGGCTCCCGGTCCAGTTAAGGATACAGTTTAAGCTGCTGCTGTTTGTTTTTAAAGCTTGCACCGCCCTATATTTCAGAACTTTTGAAAAGTCCACCAGCCCAGCAGAGCTTTACGGTCTGCTGGCCAGTATCTGCTGGAGGTGCCTTGCTCAAGGTGCAAACAATGGGGGGGACTGGTCCTTTTCTGTTGCAGGCCCAACAGCTTGGAATACTCTTCCCCATGAGCTGCGTGCCATCTCTGATCTGGTTCTGTTCAAACCTAATTAAAACCTATTTATTTACTTTTGATATTTTTTAGTATTTACCTTTTTTTTTTATCTCTTTTACCTTCTTTTATTGTGGCTGTGTTTTTAAATTTGCACTGATTTATTGTGCCCTGTTTTTATTTGTTTCATCTTGTCAAGCACTTCGCTCGATGCAAGGCGTTCTTGGAAGGTGCTGTATAAATAATAATAATTATTATTATTATTATTAGTTCACTTTAAGGGGAAAAAAACTACTTTATAGAGTGAAATATTTTATTTTAAACAAGTATCCATTAGAAATAAACAACCAGCTTGGCAGAAAAGCGTGGGTGATGCATCATTTCGGCCATCTGTTCTCCTTCCTGTTGGGTGGATCCTGTGCCAGGGCCCGTGTCCAGTCCAACCTGGCACAACTGTCCTGAACAACTCTCGCTGTCACAGACGGCCTGAAGTGTGGAGGCTGTCATGACTCAGCTCAGACGTGAGCGACCGCAGGAGATCAGAACAAGCTCTGCAGCAGACAATTACAGAGCAGACAGTGCTAATCAAAGATTAATGAAAACGACGCGTTGCAGGTTCCTGCACAGGAGGCACGCTGCACGCAGAGCAGCAATCTGTAGGTTAATTAAAGCTAATGTTTTAGATTAGATAATATGGCATTAATCAGCCGCTGCTTCTGAGGAACAAAGCATTTGTGTTGCTAATGACATCTACAGAATCTTACACAGACATCAACTCATTTGAACCGTGACTCGGCACAATCTGCGGAACGTTTGGTGTTCGGCTGAAGGCCGACGGGATTAGTCCTCGTTTTAGATTAAGATCTTACGTTGAGAAATTAACTTGCGGTATCCGTTTTGGTCCGACTTTAAAAGTAAAGATATGATGTCAGATGTCATGCTCAGAGTATGTGTTGTGATTGACTCTCAGCTACTACCACATCAACTTTCAGCTCCGTATCTGTTGAAATGACTGAGTAAAGGTTATCTTTGTGCTGGCTAATTTTGCTTAGCTGTGGCCACCATCTTATATTGAATTAACGCCATAAGTTAATCAGTCGTAGATGTACATCCAGTGATTCATTGCTGAAAGTTTCATTAAAATGTGTCCAGTTGCTCATTAGATATTTTGCCAACAGACAAACAGGGTAGATGCAAATAGTCAATGCTAAAGTTTTAAGGAAAAAATCTTGTGCAATGAGTCGCACTTGAAGTATGTGTTGTGAATCATTCTCAGCTACAAGAAAAACAAATTTCAGCACAATATCTGCAAAACTGACTGAAATATAACCATTCGTGTGTTTTCTAATGTGCGTTTGCTGCGGCGTCCATCTTGAAATTGGTTGGCTCCAAAGCTAACCAGTTGCAGACGCTGAAGTGTCACATTTTAATGGGTGCAATGAGGTAAAAACGGATAATATACAATATTGTGTGACGATATAGCTTCTGCATCAAACGGCAACGACAAAGCAAGAAATAAATGCCACAAAAGCTGCGTCTTCTTCTCTGCAGTAAATCTCTTTTGAGTTGGGTCCATCTTAAGTGAGCTCGCTCCTTAGAGACGACGAGCGACGCGCCCCCCCTGTGTGGAGCCGAGCGGAGCTCTATGAATAACTCCCCTCGCAGCACTGACTGGCACTTTGCTTTCCCACAGTATTACTCAGTGTACACCCCCAACATGGAAGGATAAGCAGGAGCCGAGCACCAAACTTCTTAATAAACCGGACTACAACCAGTAAGAAATGTGTTGACCCTGCAGCTGAGTTTGGTCATGAATTATTGGCGCTAAAGCCAGCAAGAATCCGGGGCTTATTTCTTTTCAGTAGAGACAAAACAGTGGGAAAAGGTGGAAGGTTAGGTAAGTAGTCATGACACATAAATATAAAAACTCATAATTTACGTTAACGTTTTCTTCATCTGTATGATTAACCAGAAAAAAGGTGAGATTTTACTATGAAAAATAAAAAAGGATTAATATTGTTTCCTAACAGTGGTTGTCAAACTGGGGGCCGCAAAAAAGAAAAAATTAAAAAATTTTTTACAAGCACATAAATGTTTACCAACCTGTTAAAATGCACCAAAGTGCAGGAAGTCACATCTACTTTATTCAAAATTCTCTGGGGGAGGACCCCCCGCCCACTATTTACATTCTAGCATCAATTGGAGTTGCAATCGGGCCCAAAAAAATCCAACCCGACCCATCCCCAGCCCGTAGCCATAATTTCCGAAAACGACCCGGCCCGACGAATTAATGTAATTACATGTCCAAACCCGAAACAAATGACATTTTTAATTAAGCCTCGACTGCTTATATAGTTATTAACGGTCGGAGGACGCGCGCAGCTGAATAAAGGGGGCAGAAGATCAGAGCTGAGGGGGCGTTTGTCCTTTCATGGTGGTCAAAGCGCATTAAATCCCTGCTTCTGCCTGCATTCTGCATGATTCAGACACGGACCCCGCTCTGACATGTCTGCGAGGATATTTTGGGATCTCACCTGTTTGGGTCGTCGGCCATGCGCGTCCGCCGAGTGCAGCGGCTGAACGTCCATTTGGGCTTTGATGGATCGCTGCGTGGCAGTCCCATCTGACGCGTAACTCAACTGTTTTTTACCTCTTTCGAGGCCGGTCAGCGCACGGTCAAATGGCTGTGTGCGGCCGGTGATTGTATGGAAAGCCATGTTGCCATATAATTGGATTGTATGGCAAACCATGTTGCCATATAATTGGATTGTATGGCAAACCATGTCGCCATATAATTGCATTATCAGCCGTGCGCGTCCGCTGATGCAATCAAAAGCCCGCCCCGCCCATCCAGCACATTATTATGGCCCGACCCGACTCGGGCCTGGATTAGAAATGACAGTTCTAGCATCAATCAGTTCACAAATTAAGCCATTACTTGGTTTGACTACTGCTTATGATTCTGTTCAGTTTTATGTAAAGAGTTTTCTGTAATAATTTGAAGAAGTGGTGATACATTTATGTTCATTATGTGAATAGGTAAAGTTTTAAAGTGGATTTTGATTCTGTTAATTTTCTCAAAACTGCAATTTTTGGAAGATGAAATTAAAATTTTTGTTCATTAAGTGCGTCTTGAATGAAAAATACCCCACGTTTAAATAAAAGTATAAAAATGGTATTAACACTATTAAAACCAGGCCGTAAGTATGTATGTTACACAAGTATTTCCATTGCATTAAAGAGACAAATTGAAGAAAATTATTTAATAAATATGAGGGGTATAGGGGGTCCCTGAAATTTTTTCTCTTCTGTAAGGGGTCCCTGAACCCAAAAAGTTTGAGAACCCCTGTTGAAACAGATGTGAAGTGTGGTGCCAGTGGTGTATTGGCTCACTTTTTTAGATGTATAAGCAGGTGTGCTGGAAAAATATAACTCAATGCATGTTTAATGCAAATAGATCAAAAAAGAACACCAAGCGTATTTACTGGACATCCTTTCCGAGTCGACGCTTTGCAAAACTAAATAAATAAATACATAAATATATAAAACTACTCCATCATTAGTAGGGAAATCACATTTCCTGTTAAAAGCCTAAAAATGACAACGCAGCATTGAACAAAGCTTTTAGTCTGAATGCACATGCGGAATAAAAGCATTTTGGAAATAATCTACTTTAAAGCATCAACCCTCTAGGGACACATCTGTGCACAGCTGGCTCTGTTTTACAGCATGCATCCCCCCCCTACATGTAAAGGGTTCCTCTGCTCACATCGACTCTGACCTATTGGACATCTGACAGCTCAGTGTGAACTTATGTAAACTCTGAAGTCCAATAAATATGAGTCGAACTTAAGATCCATGTTAGTTCCTAAATCTCTAAATGAGTAGCGCCAAAACATTCTTCTCCAACGTTTGACAAAATGTGTCATCTTCCAGCAAATGACTCAGTCGTTTCACTCCGTACTTCTAATAGAGGAAAACAAAACAAAACAACAAAAAAAAACTGCTTCAAATTTCAGCCCAGACAGTCTATAACAGAGGGCAGCCGTAATAAATCTTTCACCGTGTGGCTACAAACTTGGAATGATTTCCTGCCCAGAGAGTCAACCGTTATTAATTTATTGTCAGACACCACTGAAACTATGCGTCTGTAAAGAAAAATGGTTCACGCCCTTCAATGGGAGGGCCTGTCACACCACAACAAAAATTTTAAACCCACTCTTGGGTAATGTTTTGGACAGTTTTGAAGACACATGACCGCCCCTTGTTATCTCCTTACGATGTACAATTCCACCGTTAAACATGGAAAATAATACGATTTAGCTTAAAAACTACACACATAGGAAAAAAAAAACAGCTTTACAGGGAAGCTGAAAGACCAAAAAAGGCTCTTTCAAATCATACAGTCAGAGCTCAAGAATTTTATAATTACTGTGTTTAAAAGATCAAAAAATGCAAACAAAAAAATCCTGTTGAGTCAGGAGACTCGCATAAGTCGCATTCTGCAGGGAGAAGTCAGATGACTGACTAAGGTGATGATGGCAATTGGTCAGTCTACTAGAGAAGGAAGTGTAGAACAATAAAGGGAGACCATGTCTCATAAAGATGTAGGAAAGTATATTACTACCAATCAATTAACTGTTACACGTATTTAGTCAAAGTGGGAACATCTGTGGGAGCATAAACCCATAGAGCAAATACTTGCATATAAATACGTATATTTAGCTCAAGCAGAGGTGATCACAGAGCTGTGATGGATGATGGGTCTAAAAAACATTACAATAAACTTCCTTATTAAATGCCACAGCCAAGCCAAAACTCCCGAGAGGGGATATTTCAGATACCACATGAGATAAAAACAGTATAAATCACAATTCACAACAAAGTACTGTTCTCCCACTCTTGAGTACCACAAACATAACAACCTCCCAGTCTGGATCACTTTACAGGAGCTGGCACAGGTCATGGCTTCTGTAAGTCTCACTGGCATTAAAGCTACGCATTAAATAAAAAGGTAAAAAACCGTTACCCTGAACTCTATCCAATAATGCTGTTAGAGTTCAGTAGTTTTCCAGATATTCCAGATAAAAAGTTTTGAAACGCAGGTGTGCGCTCACTGTAAACAACGCAGTCAGCTGAATCATCCAAAAGCTACATGGAAGCTTGACTGACCTGCATTCAGCTGGTTGTGGTATGAATAAGCAAACGGACGTGTCCAAATCGACAGGTGGAAAAATAAAGACTGAATCTGCTGCAAAACGCAAAATAACTGAGACAACTCTCGAATTCTATCTGCGTACTTTACTTAATAGATCCGAGTATAAATATATATCGAAGTTGTCATTCTTCTCAATCCTGAACACCGCCGTCGTTGACCTGTTTTCAGTCACTTCGGCTGTTTGTTGTAGGTAAACAAATGCATGTTCGCAAATTTTGCTTAAAACCTTTACATTTTTGGACACGTTATACTCAAAAATGAGAAAAAAAACATTATGTTTCTTGCATTCATGCACGACTGCACAATATATCGGAATTGCAAAATAAATATCAGAAGGAAGGACTGGGATGTTATATTTAATATGTCGTCACCTTCTTAAAATAATTGCCTAAGTCATTTTTTTTCAAAAAT